GGTATTCCTTATGAAACAGCCCTCAACCTGCACACTATTACAACACTCGCTGATCGTCGAATCTCATTCTGTAATAACTTTAGTATATTAAAATCACCTTCTCATAGATTTGTTTTTACCGTCAGCTCCACAAAAGAATCACAATCATAGAAACAATCGTGAGTTTGTTCTTCCTTAAGTGAACACTGAACGTTTTACGTACTATGCAGTGAGTATTTCAAAGATAGAGGCCTAATAGTATTGTTAAACTATTGCTAACTATGTGCAGATGACGAGCAATATGCTAAATAAATGCACCAGGTTAAGAAACGATTGGGTTTTGATCGAAAAATTGTGCCTAAGCTTGATAGCATGAAAATTTTACTTTCAAAAGTCTTGTATTAGGTAAACGAAACGTGTTGATGGATGAGCTCTCTATAGCCTAGCAGCATTTGTCATTTATAAAACTTTACTTTCTCCGAAAATGTAGAAAGCCAATATCCAATTTTCATGAAGGTATTAGAGTATAGAAATTCATTAAAAGAATATGTAAACTTATGTGGATTTAAATGATATGTGTGGTTAATGATACTGTATGTGAACAGTATAGTTGGTATGTAATAACGGCCTTTGGTTTTGATAGAGAAAAAAATTTATCGTTAAACTTCAATCACTTGGCATGATTGCAATAAAGTAAGGTTGAATTATCAATAGCGATTTAATCACTGTACTATCAAAAGTGACAATCCCTTCAATGACAAACATACAAATGACGATTTAATAGTCTCATAACGAGTCTTCAGAGATTTTGTTAGCGAACCCTCCAACCAACAAAAAGGATGATTAAAAAAAAATAAAATAAAATGTTACTATTTTGGCCAGTTAGCACAACCTCCACCACGAAAAATGGAAATTTCATTTAAAAAAAAATTATTTATTTTGATTACACCCTCGGCTCCCATGAAATCTTCAAAAATAAGATATAGGTCCTATAGGTCATTACCTCCTTGCATTATATAAATTGAAAGCATTTAATCCATCTGCACTCTGCTTTATTCATTAATACAATTTTATTCGTATTTTCTCCTCCACCTAGATGATTTAGCAAAACCATTTGCTAAATAAGAAAACAAAATTTTATATTTATTTTTTCCACCCTCCTCGGAGGATCTTTAAAATAAGTTCGCGAAACAATTAAAGTATAAATAAATTCTCACCTGAAGTATAATTAATAGATTCCGATTGTTAGATGTATAGTCCCAATGTTAGGCTTCATTTCATTTCATTTCATTTTATTTCTTTAGGCACGAGGGCCAAGGATATGCCAATAAGTGAACTTAATCACTGTCCTACGTGGCATATCCATTTAACAACAGGGGACTTAATGGACCAGTACACCGGGGTAACCCCCTACTCTTCTCGAATGATGTACCGGGTTCTTTAAAGTGCACACGAGCCAAATGCGTACACTGGGCCTACGGTTTAAAGTCCTTATCCGAGAAGACTTATTCCACCACCGGAACCATTGGCGAGTGAGCCGTTCGAACCAACGCCGATATTAGAGCTAAAGGTCACGGTGCCCCTGACTTAACCGCTCGGCCAATCAACTCGCTTATATATAGTTATAATATAATATTAGTTAGGATTATAAATGTAATTAAATTGAAAGACCTTCTATGTCTATTTTTGAAAATTAAGATAATGTATGTTGTAAGTGGAATAGACTTATATATGTAGTTATAATGTAATATTAGATGTTAGGATTATAAATGTACCGTAATTAAATTGGAATTACCTATGACCTCTTTTAAAAATTAAGATAACGTTAACGTATGTTGTAAGTGGAATTCATGTAGTTAGAAATTTTGTTTTTGTGAGACCGTATGTGCTTTCTAATATATTTACATAAGAAAACAAAATTTTATATTTATTTTTTCCACCCTCCTCGGAGGATCTTTAAAATAAGTTCGCGAAACAATTAAGGTATAAATAAATTCTCGCCTGAAGTATAATTAATAGATTCCGATTGTTAGGTACAGTGTAGTTAAGTTAAGATGTTATTAAATTGCAAATTGTTAGTGATCGCTTATGCAGTTAAGATGTATAGTCCCAATGTTAGGCTTATATATAGTTATAATATAATATTAGTTAGGATTATAAATGTAATTAAATTGAAAGACCTTCTATGTCTATTTTTGAAAATTAAGATAATGTATGTTGTAAGTGGAATAGACTTATATATATGTAGTTATAATGTAATATTAGATGTTAGGATTATAAATGTACCGTAATTAAATTGGAATTACCTATGACCTCTTTTAAAAATTAAGATAACGTTAACGTATGTTGTAAGTGGAATTCATGTAGTTAGAAATTTTGTTTTTGTGAGACCGTATGTGCTTTCTAATATATTTACATTAATTTTTATATTGAAGTACATTTGCAATAAGGAATGGAAATTTCATAATTGTAGGCCTACTTTGTATTTTTATGACAATAAAGTTATCTGTATTTGTAAGTGTATATAAAATTACATTGTATAACTAAAGATGTATAATTATGATTCCGATTGTTAAGCTTATTTTATGATTTCAAGATGTACTGTGTTTCTTTTAGATGTAAATGTACTGTCATTTTATTAATTATTATCTTTGAATACACGTTCTTTTTTTTTCTTGACATTCCTTTCTTTCTGTCGGGAAACGATGTTAAATATAATTAAATTTTTATATATAAAATTGTTGATTTTTATTGGAAATTCATTTATATTAATTCTAATAAAGCTATTACTGATAAAAAACACACAAGTTTTGGCGGGGACCTAACAACACAAAACACCGTTTAAAGAGATCTGGAAACTATTCAACCTAAACAGCATCCTGACAGCCCATTCTCACACACTGGAAACCCCTATTATTTAAATAGAATAGTCCAGTCTATAGATAGTGACCTGCACCCGATAATAGACTTTCACTCTTTCAGCTTTTATTCGGAACTCACATTTAAAACTGAATATAATACAATGTAAAAGAACAATATAAAAGTGACTTTAGAGCTACGTAAAAGAAAAAGACCTGTTACATCGCATATCAAGATAATAGATTATATTTGGGAGTAGAGCTTTTTATTTTCCCAAAAAGATTTTCCAGAGAGTTGTTATCAAATGACATCACTGCTTTATCTGTTTGGTTGGTGCGTTCATGCATACGAAAACAGTATCAACCAGGCTTGACCATGGAGGAAAGAAAAGGGATTGACCTTGTGTAGTACCAGTATTGCGATATACAGTTAGTATTATTTGCTGGAAATTGTGTAGTTTCAGTACTGTACTGTAATTACAGGCCTAGTTATCGATTATTATTTAGAATAGACACCAACGACAAGGCGTTAAGGTACACAGAATTGTCACGACGTTTCATAGTCGTCTAAGGTAAGATTAATATTAGCTAACTTTAAGATTAAAGTAAGGAATATCTTAGGAAATAATAGAGCATTGCAAAGTGAATTGCTTCTTTTGTAAATTGATTTTTCTTTTGTTCTTTGATTGTTACCTACTCGCTTGTTTTGACCTTTAGTTCCTTTTAATTGACTTTTACCTGTTTAAGACCCCATTGGAAATTCTTGAATCTGACTTGGTTGTTCCTGCTGTTTTATAGTGTTAGACTTTTGTACCCAAAATGGATACTTTTGCATAAAAAGGCCATAAATTTAGCTCTTTATGAAAGAATTTCGCTTGGGTCATAGAGAAATTGCATCCAACAGTTTCGTAATCAGCAAGGTCAGAAGGATTAGGTTTGCAAGAGCTCAAAGCAAATCAACATTAACAGTTAATATATTATGTATAAAGGATCCCCAAATTTTGAACAATATTTGCTAGATTAAAATGATTTTATAAGTATTAATTTAAAGTTTGAAGCAAGATCAAATTCTTTAGATCTTGAGTGTCGTAGACAATCCTATTCAAAAAATAACACAGGTCTATGTAAGATTTGTACTACTAACGAAAAAAAAAAACAGTAAACCACTTTTTGTTTAATTATACTTCACTAAACTCCGTCAGAAATGATTTATATACTTAAATCTTAAGAACAGCCTCATAGAAAATAAGTTAAATACATATTGGGATATGTTTAATTGTGGATCACAAGAATTAAAACGCCACACTATGCTTGATAATTTATTCACTGAGAATGAAACATTAGGAGAAATTTTTTATTTTTATTGTAAACAATATTTAATTGAAGCATGGACAACCAGATCTACAATAATATCAGCATTACCTCTCTCAAAATTTAATTAATTAATGACAAACAAGGTACATTATATGATGTAATGTAATTATTACTTTCATTATTATGATACTTTTTATTATTATTTATTATTATTATTATTATTATTATTATCATTATTATTAAGATTTGTACTACTAACGAAAAAGAAACAGTAAACCACTTTTTGTTTAATTGTACTTCACTAAACTCTGTCAGAAATGATGTATTAAATCTTAAGAACAGCCTCATATAAAATAAGTTAAATACATATTGGGATATGTTTAATTGTGGATCACAAGAATTAAAACGCCACTTTATGCTTGATAATTTATTCACTGAGAATGAAACAGGAGTTAATTGTAAACAATATTTAATTAAAGCATGGACAACTAGATCTACAATAATATCAGCATTACCTCTCTCAAAATTTAATTAATTAATGACAAACAAGGTATATGATGTAATGTAATTATTACTTTTATTATTATTTATGTACTAGACAGCTTAATTAACTTCATACAATTATTGTATTGATGTAAGTATGTGTATGTATGTACGAGTATGTGTACATGTGTATGTATATGTGTATATGTATATATATATATTTATATATGTATGTATGTATATATACATACATATATATTTGATAAGCTCTATATCTAGGTGTATCATTTGTATTTTGTATTAGAACTTTTTCTCTTTTCCCTGTAGTTTAATATGTTATTTGTATTTTTTTTTGTATTTTGTAAAGTGGATGCACCACTGAATGATGTGTGCCACCGATATAAAGATGATTCCATTGAATAAATAAAATAAATAGGTAGACTTCGGCCGCCGACAACATCGGCCGCCACCAATCAAGTGCCAAAAAGTATGGAGCGCCGTTAGCACTGTCTGTTTGCTTCCAACCAATGAGCGTTCGCTGTGTTCAGTGTTTTATGCCAATTATAATCATTGTGTTAATTGTTTTTAGCTTTCGAGTATTAAGTTCGTTGGAACCGACGTTCAGTCGATAGGCTGTAGGCTGTAGGCCCTCTTTATGTATGTAATAAAAGTGATGAAAAAACTATGTTGTTTTTTTTAAAAACATTAATTGCGTCATATTTTTGTATCCTACTTTACGTTTATGATTGTGATATCGATTTTAATATTGTCATTAACAGTAATTTTAGTGTGTTTAGGGTTGAGATTAAATTGTTTTGCATGATGTACACAATTAAAATATGAACGAACAGATAGGTAAAAATTAATGAAGAACTATGCTCGAAACCTTGTATTATTTAGAATTAATTGGCAATATCGTGTTTTACGATAGTTTTTTAGTTATTTATCTGTTCGTACATTGCCTATGCAGCTAACTCTCGGTTTATTTGGATATTTATAATGTAAACGAACAGAAGTAAAATACAACAGGAAATATTCATTAAATGTAATTAATTGCGCTATTCTTGTATCCTACTATACCTTTACTTCCTGTATTATTATTATTATTATTATTATTATTATTATTATTATTATTATTATTATTATTATTATTATTATTATTATTATGTTAACATAATATTAAAACATAACACATTGTACTGTACATATTTGTGTATCCTACTTTACGTATATGATAACATTATGTGATAATCAAGAACATCACATAAACATATTAATGTTATTTTATAATTGTGATATTGATCAATAATCATTAACTGTAATTTTAGTTTTAGTTTTAGGGTTTTATTGTTGGTATAATGTACGGTACATCATTAAAATATGAACGAATTTTACTTTAATTAAGTGCATTTTAAATTTGGGCGTTGTTTTGATATACAGTACTGTAATTAAAAAAAATAAACGAATCAGTAAAGACAGAATTACATAGGCCTACGTTTTATATTTTGGGGTTTTTTTTCCAACACAGTATAGCAGTACTATTTTTTTATATACATTTATAATTATAATTTTCAAATCAGTTAATAAAAAAAAAAAAAAATACATATATGTACTGTACTGTATAATAATACAAGATACAAGATAAAATTTATTGTCTCCAGTACAAAACGAATGAAATAAGATAATACAAATAAAATACATATATAAGTATACTGTATAATGATACAAGATACTAGATAAAATTTATTGTCTCCAGTACAAAACGAATGAAATAAGATAATACAGATATATAAACTATAATGATACAAGTACATACAAATGTTATGAAAAATACCTACAAATAAAATACATTTATACGAATTAAATAAGAAGATAATGACATCAAAAACATACAAATAAGATAAGTATATAATAATACACACGAATAAAGTAAGATAATAAAGACATCAAAACATCCAGCTGATTAAATACAATCATAAAACAGACGCCGAATAACAAGGCTCTACACAATGCAACACACTACACGCGCAATGCAACACACTACACGAACTGCTAATTAAAATGCGAGTATGGCGTTCCATAGAAATCACCGGCGGCCGAAGTTGCCGGCGACCGAAGTCATATCCCGGTCAGAATACCCGAAATCAAGTGGATCCCAACTTAGGCCTAAAAGTGCCCATTGATTCGTTACAGAGGAAATTTTTTGAGAAATGATACCTGTCTCAATAAAATTTTCCCAGAAAATCTAGATTTTTTCTCAGGGGTGGCGCCAGGATTTGCTCGAGGGGGGGGGGGAGGACCCGAGGTTCCCGACCGGGGGGGGATGCCCCCGACGAGGGGTCAGATTTCCATGACAAAAGCAATGTGGGTGTGGTCGAGCTTCGATTAAAAAGTTCCAAAAGTGGTCCAGGGGGCGAAGCCCCCGAAAATTTTAACAATTTAAGGTATCGAAGGATTATTTAATCGATTTTAGAGTCTACTAATATGTAGAAAATACACATAATTTTTTTTCCTCCCAGACAAATTGTACTTTTTCTCCTGGCGCCACCCCTGTTTTTTTCTTCTGAATTAAAAACCGAAAATATTTGTAAAATTTACTTTACAAATATGAGATGATTTTTTTTGTATATTTACGAAATATAGTTGTATTATGCCTTTTTATATTGTTATTATTAATATAAAAAAAACAAAGGCAACGATTTAAAACACTTTCATGTTGGCATAGTTCGTTCACATCTCTTTTATAATTATTTCGTGTATTCATGCACAGGGGCACAGTTAACTTGAATTCTTTGAGAATTCACCTTTTTTTTTTGAAAAAGAACCAGTAACATTTTGCCCGGGCTCAGTGTTCTTATATTTTTTTTCGATTTCAGACTCAAAATGTTCTTATTTTTACACACTTTTCAAACATAATAAATCATTATTGTACAGGCTCAGTATAATGCACTTTATTATACAAGTTATGACATAGCCACACCTACTGCAAGTAAGGTAGAGATAAGATTTATTGGTTTTCTATTTTGGTTTTTTTAAGTAAAAAACTGAGCCTCAATTTGTTCTTATTTTATTCTTAATTTTTAAGCAATTTCAGCCTCAGTGTTCCTCATAAAATGTGTTCTTATATATGAAAAAAGGTGTACTGTACTACTGATGACTAAATATACCACAACATGTAAAACGCTTTTTTTTTTTTTTTAAATTTTTACTCAATAAATTCAGGAATAACCTAAATGGAGGCTCTAAGTAAAAAATCGGCTGAGGAATTAATTGCAGAATTTGGTCTTCAAGAACACATTGAAGGGGGATATTACAAGGAGACATACCGATCCGAACACAGTACTGCAATATATTACCTGGTTACCAAAGAGAGCGGAATTGTATGGCACCGCATTAGGGGAAAAGATGAACTCTGGCATTATTATGCTGGCGATCCTATTGAAGTGTCGCTTGCAAATCCTGAGGGTGTTTCAATGGGCAAGCGTGTGGTCGGACCAGACTTGACCAAAGGTCAAACTTTCCAACTACTGATACCAGGCGACCACTGGCAAAGTGCCAAATGTCTAGATGGCGGAAAGTGGACATTGTTTGGCTGCACCGTTAGTCCAGCCTTCGAGTATAAGAATCTTCAGATTGCCCCAGATGATTTTAAACCAAAAGAAGGTTTGTATATGTTTAATAACTGAGTTGTAAAAATATATGTAAGAAATTTATTGTAATTAAAGTACAACCCCATCTTTGGGGCCCTTCCATTCAGGGGACATCCCAAGGGGACACTTTTCCACAAAACGAGGGAAATCCATGATAATTCTTATTAAGGGGACACCCATATTAAGGGGGTACCCATATTAAGGGGGTACCCATATTAAGGGGGTGAGACCACTTCCTGTGTGGGTGTGCCAAATGGTCAGTTCGTTCCACCCACTAATTTCAACATATTAAGGGACCAAATTTAAACTGTAATTACAACACCAATAGAAAGGTAACCCTATGCTTTCTCTTTCTCCGAACGTTACAATCATTTAACATCAGCAAAGATGTAACGTTACTTTGCTTCCAAATTATTTAAATATTATGTTAGTTTCTACCATCTGATAATGAACGTTTCTAGAGTGTTAAATATTAATCACTGATCAATCTGAGCAGGATCAGATGTACGCGCTTGTCCCACAAACGAATGTGCTTTTGCGCACGTACGCGCGCCGTTGTTCGCGAGCGAGTCTTGGTGGAAGATCTTATGAAGTTGTGCTATGATGAGTAGGCTAAATAAATAGATAGTCTGCAAATGATAAGTTTGACTGATAAGATATGCATATTTTTTTTCTATTGCAGGTACCGACTGAAGTCCAATAATACTATTTGGCTGTTTCAGAGGGGCAATTCATGTTAATCTTTCCCTTCACTGGCAGTCTTTTTTGTTGTCTAGTTTTTGTTCGTTGCCAATTGTTTAAATAAATAAATAAAAATAGAGTGTAAAGTTCTTCTTGGAAGGGAACTGATTATCTAATATAATTAATACTAGCCTGGATACCGAACAGCAGTGTACTTTACTTAAATTTTTTCCCTCTTATTTTTCGTCCTCTTTCAGCGACACGGCCGCATTCTCCAAAAACTACACTCTGCAGAACATGTTCAACTTTTATGTTAACATATAGGCTCCCATTTCACTCTTTTCTATATCATATTTTTGTTGTTTGTCACTTAAATGTCATTTTGTCTACCAAGCATAACATATTTCTGGATATTTTATATATAGACCAATAAAAGTTTTTGCATGGAGGTAAAAAATAAGGTTTTTGGTGTTAAATTATTTTGTGTAAGTATGTAGGCCTAGGTATAATACAAACTATTCTAACTGTAATAGGCCTAAACAAAATGGAATAAACATTGCCATCAAATGCATTCTTATAATTTATTTAATATTCACTTTGAATGTACAGTAGACAAAAAAATACCCCTCTTTAACAAACACACCACATTCTTTAGTATGATAACCAGTTAGTTATATATGAAGAGTATAGAACTGCAAGAAGTCCGACTCTTGGGGTTTCGTTGGAACACAATCTTATTTCAAAAAGCATTACCATGAGCTAGAGGGCATCCTTTAAAAAACGTAAAAGGTGTTTGTATCGAACATGTCCTATGTCAAAACATAGCCCCATACAGCACCCTCTATCTTGTGGTAGTACTTCTTTAATGTTTCAGTAAGTGCATACAAAATCAGAGCAGTCAGACCTCTTGTAATTCTATACTCTTTGCTTATATATAAATAATTTGTAATAAATGCAAGTAAAGTCAAACATAATAGTACAAAGCATTGCAATTTTCTGTCCACATTATCTGTGTTTTCTGTGACAAATATCCTAGTTGCTATACATGGGCATCACATCAATTTATGGGCAAATCACAGGTACTTGTCACACAAGTATTTATAGCGTGCACAGGGCTTCAAAAATGTTGAAAAAATCTTTAATTTGCTGTAAACTTCACGTTTTGCAAAATACAAAGGTTGCAGTATTATTACTATCGAACGTGGGTTCCAGGCAGATATTTCTTATAATTTTTAAAAGCTTAAACATGAGCAGTGGGCAAGCGTTTTTATTTTTATTTTTTAAAGCAAGCCTCATTTTTTCCCACTCTCTCGCATTACTTGCCGGTGGTGCAGTAGAAATAAAAATAAAAACTACAATAAATCTAGCAATTACAAATTCAAGGGAAAGCGTTTTTATATTTCTTAATTTTACAAACATTAGAATTTGGGTTTTTTTTTTAGGTGTATATAAAAAAGTATATAGATCTATCTCATGCAATATCTGATATTTTCCTAATATTATATCTACAAATTTTCTGATCAATATGGTAAGAATCTTGTAATACTAATTAATACCACTCCATTATATTGAATCAATAAATAATTACACTTAGGTATATTTTTAGCATACCAGTATATGATTTTATATACCATTTTATTTTATTTTTTATTTAAAAAACATCTGCAATTCCATTTCCTATCTGTTGAAGATAAATACTTCTAAAATTGCTTGCAAATATTATATTACTTTTACCATACACAAAATCTTATATGGAAGGATAGTCAGTGATTTAACATTTACATCAATCAAGAATCCATGAATTCTTAACAACTCCTACTAAACATTCATTGGCCCCTAGATATATAGCAGCGTATTAAGCTCCTTTTGAAAAAAAAAAAAAAAATTGCAGGCCTTAATTTATATTATTTTATACACACCAATTCCTTCACCTGTCATCCAAACCTTTACACATACCCATGGCCTAATCACACTACACCACTCACAACTGAACATGCCTTTCCTTTCGGCTTTAAACAATTCATTCTTTTGTCCATGTTTAAAAATGAGCACAGCCTCAATTGGTATCTATATAAGTTCATTAAATTAATAATTTAAATGTACTGTATTGCATGCTTAAAGTAGGGCAGGTCATAAGATGGTTACTTAACGTACAATGGTCACAGGCCACCCCGCACACTTGTGCTCACACCAGGCATAATTTATGTTGGGTGTCCACACTATGATGTTTTAAACATGAACCTGTTTAAGGTGCTTCCTCAAAACCAAATGCGAATTGCTGATTGGTAAAATGGTAGCCAACAGTTCACACCAAATGAAAGGTCATACTTATTAGCACACTTGGTTTGATTGGCAGGAAAACAGTTCCATGGCGTGAACTCAATCTAGGTCAGTTTGTACACAAAAGTGTCTATGCTGTGTGACGCTAGTCTGGTGAACATAGTCTTAGAATACTGTACAACCTTTCACTACACCTATGTATATTTCTAGATGTTAATATCCACATATTATCAGCATAATTAGGTTAAAAATACATTATATATGCATAGAATATGAGTTATGGCTAAGTCACCATGCAATATCTTCCAAGTTTACTTCAGATTTGTCTAATAAATTACCGTACTGTATTAAGTTAATTACTTAAACTAAAAGAAATAATATAGAGGAAAGGAAAAGCAGAATTAGATTCCGGTTGGATGTTTAAATTCAGCCTCGATCTTGAGGAAGAATTGAAATCTCTATCTGTGCATAAACTGGTTAAGGAACACAGCAATTAACTTGATCATATTTTGCTCAATATAACAAGTTGTAACAAAGATTGCTGCATGTAACATCAATCCATGTAAGAATCTGGGTAAAGTCCCTCAGGTGATGAATTTACTAAAAAAAAAAAAAAAAAAGCACTTCCCAAGAGATTGATTTGTAGGAGGAAAAAACGGTCTACAGCAATAAGTTTCTTTTTGTTTATCCTGCCACCGTCAAGGGTTTTGTATTGTCATTTCTGTCATTTTGTATGGTTTTTAAAATTTCCGAAATGAATGAAATGAAATGACTACTGCACCCCTGTGAACCATATACAAAATGTGTTTACCCTCGCAGATCCAGTGATGTAGTTATGGTGGGCAGGGCCACCCAGCCTTGAAGTTTTCTACCCAGTATAAAGCTAATTTCATGGCCCTCCACCCACCCTTATCAACCCACTTTTCCATCCTTAAAATCCACTCTTATTACTTAGAGTTTACAAATGTTATCAAAACAGCTAATGTAGGCAGCCGGTTTGCTGTTTAATATTCATGAGGTATAGTAAAAATAAATACTACCGCCCTCTGCTTTGCCTAAATCTCAATCATACAACAACCAGGGAAGTAGAATTCACTACTTTACGTCCAACCATGTTGTACTTGTATACCAAAGATCTTATAAACACAAGATAGCGTTCTCCGCGATTTACGCGTAACAAATAGAAGCGTCGATCAAGGTTCAAAAGTTTCCAATTTAGCAAGAGGGCGCCATTCATGCGCTATTATACCATAGCAAAGATCTTATAAACACAAGATAGCGTTCTCCGTGATTTATGCGTAACAAATAGAAGCGTCGGTCAAGGTTCAAAAGTTTCCAATTTAGCAAGAGGGCGCCATTCATGCGCTATTATACCAAAGAGAAAAAGTAATCAGTTTGGAAGAGGGCGTCCTATCTGTTGCCATCTGAGATGGTTCCTGTTCTGCTGTTCACAGGAATGATACCCTAAATGTAAAGTGGCGCGGTGTACGGTATGGTCAAAGCGTCAAGGGTCAAAAGTTTCCAATTTAGCAAGAGGGCGCCATTCATGCCTTATTACAGAATTTGCACGCATAAATCGCGGAGAACGCTATCTTGTGTTTATAAGATCTTTGTTGTATACTACACATACAAAAAGGATACGACTCTGAGACCTCGTTCAAATGGATCTGTGATGAGGAGGCCTCGTGGCACATATATCTCGTCATTTTGTTGCTGGATAAATTGAGCTGCTTGTTTTAAACACTGAAATGAAAATAAGGGAAAATTGAGGAGTAGCAACATTGTGGAACAATCATTTCGTTGAAAATTAAAAAAAAAATATCATAGTATTTCATTTTGAAATTAACTTGCTCATTTTGTAATTATTAAATTGAGCATGGAAATTACTGAATTAGAAAATGTGCACTCTGATTTTTACACTGGATAATGATAAATATAAGAAAAACACTTCCAGCGACTGAAATGGGTGATGGGTAAACATTTTTTAAATACACTAAGTTCTATGTTTAAGTTTTCAATGATATTTTTATTGGTATTTTTTCACATCTTTAATGCTAAAAGATCTGGTTCTGTTAATACTGTTGATATCATATAATCTTCTGCATAATAATACCTGTAATGATTTTATTAGCCATTGTAACTAGAAGAGTATATCGAATAGACATTAAACCGCCAGATATCCATACAAGGCTTTTATTCGTAACTATTCGATCAATATTTAGCGACGACAGGTCAAACCACTCACTCCTCGCAAATCATGTTTTTTGATAATGGCCAAAACATCTTACAATGTCAACAATTGTGAAACCTATTTTATTGCACTAAACTGAACTTTATATATCTATACATCATACTATTTTGTTACTTCTCCTCATTTTCAACATTAAAACAACATTTTTAAAAAATATTTGGCAATGGTCTCTGTCTGGGAAATGGCTGAAACTTTGAAGGCTGATTTCTCAAATACTGTTTTTTAAAACAGCTGTATGTTTAAACCCCTGTAACTTCATAATCATACTTCAGATTTAAGTGATTATTTTTTTTTACCATTTTATAGCTTTCATTTTAATAAATAACTAAAAATATATTTTTGCGAGGAGTGTCTGGTTTGGCTTGTCTTTGCCACATACAGGTAAAGCATTTTTGTTTTGGTTTGATGAGCATAAATCCCAGGACAAGACACAGGAGCTACTACAGGGTTACTGATTATCTGACAAGTAGTGAAAGACTTCAAAGCCAGTGGTAGCGCCACTGGGGCAGGAGGGAATTTCCTTCACCCCCCGCATTGGACAAGCCTAATCCCCTAGTCGTCCGAAACCCAATGAGGTTGGTGGATCAAAAGTTTAACAAATAATAATAATCTGCCTATCGAAATAATGTTACTTTGATTGCCAATCCAAAATATTGTAGTATAAAGGCACAATTTGAACGATACTATGCCATGAAAACCGAGACTTTAGTTGGCCCCTTGTTTCGGACCCCTTTGTCAGACATGATGGGCCCCTTGTCGGAAAATTTCTGTCGCTACAGCTGTTCAAAGCATGCATTTCTATTTGTCTACTTGAAAAAATGTAATTACATTTTCATGTAAAATGTCATATGAGTAAAGGAAATTGCAGTTAATTATTGATAAAAGATAAAATTGCTTTGTCATCTTTGATTTCAAATTCAACTTCTATTCGGATGGTAATTTAAGATGAGTTTTTACATTACATATGTAAATAATACATCTGTTCCATGTCACTATTTAACATAAATTTTGCAATTTTCTAAATATACAACTGCTCTATGATTTTAATTAATTTTATAATAAATTGAGATCTAACATTACAAATTTCTTAAAATATACATATTATGAGTAAGTATTTTGTGGGGATAATAATAAACAATATTATAATAAAAATAATATGTAGGGGTAATATATAATGCAGCATCTATCTAGTTAAAAAGCCTATTTGACATGGGAAGATTTGTATCATTTGAGATTAGAGTTCAAACAGGGGAAATTATAAGGAGAAAATTACGAGGGATTATGTAGGTAATGTATGTACAGAAATTATTCAGGCAGAATTAACAGGGTATTATGAATGAGGTAATATATATACAGGGGGAATTATGCAGTGAGAATTATGCATCGGGGAATTATACAGCAGGGATTATGCAAAGGGTATCATGCACTAGAAATTATGCAACAGTGGAAAAAATGCAGTGTTTTTATGGGGGGAATATGAGAGAAATTCCTTAAAGAGTTTAATGAGAATGATAATTCAAGGAGTAAATAAATATAAGAAGTTAAGGAAATTAGGTGAGGGTAATAAATTGTGCATTGTATATTCAGGAGTTATAATAACAGGCGTAATTGCAAGATTTTGAAGGAAATGTGAGGAGAAATTATGCAGAGAATGTATGAGGAGGAAAAAATATGAGTAGATAATAATTATGTATTTATTTAAGCACTTGTATTGTGCAGGGGATTTATAAGGCAGAATTTTGAGTGGGAATCATGAGGGGAATTTATTTAACGTGTAATTCTGTAGCGGAATTATGTGTAGCGTGAATGACATGCATGTCATTAATCCTTACGCCTTCCACTAACTCCTCTATTTTATTAACAGTTCTGCATTAAGTGCACCCACAGGACCACAGTACCTTCTCATAGTGGGTCTCCATACACAGAAGTATAGTGTAGGCGGTGAGGCATGCAAAGCATCCTTCACAGTACGTCACTGCTCCATATTTCTCAGCATCAGCATACAGTTCATTAAGTCTATTCACGGTGTGTTCAAATAAATTTTTATCAATCTGAAATAATATATAGATATATATTCAGTAATTATTGACATACTTCATAATTAAATCATAAACAAAATACCTCATTACATTAAAATTACACCCAAATAAAAAGTTATACACCACTATCGGTATGTCAAATAATTCATCACCACCCCAATCAATTATCCAGTTTCAATAATATACCAGCTTGTGGAGCTGTATCAGTTCAGTTAAATATCTTAAAAAAAACTTATCAAACTAATACAAGCAAACCATGTCAAAATAAAAACACTGGTAGCACTTTATTGACTACCTTTTAATATTTAGTACATTAGATTTCGCCAGCAGTCTTTGCTGGTTGTATCACATGCCGTCGCGATGAAGCCATCAGTTTAAAGATGAGGGGTGTAACGGCTTTGACAGGGGGTCCAAGATCACTGACAAAAGGTCCAAAAACCCTTACAGGATATCTAAACCCACCTCAGTTCCACCTCTAGATGCCTAGAAATGGCTCTTTCAGGCCATAAAAATGCCTTTCAAAGCAGTGATCTCAGAAGAAATGATTGGCTTCTTCTCTGACGGAGTGCAGAGTTCCAAGACAAAGGTCCTACAGTATGCCACCACTGTCACCACCATCACTTCGATAACAGTCACCACTACTGCCATAATAGTCACCACCAGCTTTATCGTTGCCTTCATTAATCACCATTACCATCATAGTCACCATGACTATCACCATCATCCTTAACTTCACACACCATCACTACTACCACCATTGTCACCATCACCCGTTATCATAGCTGATGCCATATTAACCATTGCTATCATCACCACTGCCACCATCACCTCTGTGAATGTCATAACATAACCACCCTGTATCAATATCCCTACCATCATCACCACCACCATTGCCATTATCAAACTTTCAATTAACATACTCTACCTTGTCTGTTAACTCTGCAGGTCGTTTTGTTTGGAACTTGACAGACGTTCCTCCTGAATAATCTCTCTGGACGAACACCTTTCCAATAGGTTGAATATGGTGCCCTACATTCTCCATCGGAATTCCCTACGTACAAGCACAAAACAAAATCATAGAAAAAATTAACTTACGCCAGACCTTTACAGATAATATTGTACTGTCCACTATGCACCATTCAAATAGTTTCATCTGATTTCTGTGATGTATGAACATGGACAGCAAATTCTCACAAACAGTACGTACATTATTGGCTTACTTACAAGAATTTGTCCATGTTCACATATGTGGCAAAGACAAGCCAAACCAGTCACTCGTCGCAAATTGTGTTACAGAGAAAATGGCCAAAAAATGCTGGAATGTCAAATTTAAAAAAATCTATTTTATTGCACTAAACTAACCTTTATATATCTATACATCATTCTATGCTGTTATTTTCCCCATTTTCAATGTTAAAACAATACTTTTTAAGGATTTAAAGATAGTTTCTGCATGAGAAATGCCTGAAATCATAAACTTTGACGGCTAATTTCTCATATATTTTTCTTTAAACAGCTGTGTGGTTAAATACTTGTAACTTTAAAAGGAATGTCCGATTTGAATGATTTTTTTACCATTTTATAGCTATTATTTTACTCTCTAACACTGTATTTAATAACTCAAGATCGATTTTTGCGACGAGTGACTGGTTTGGCTTGTCTTTGCCACATATTGTATAGTTCTACAGCAATAAACATGGCTTTGTAGATCTTCAAAACAAATAGAACTGGGGAATCCAAACTTACATTTAAGCATCATAAATTGATCAATACCTTGTAAAAAAAATATATTATACTACACAGTGTTCCAAATTCTCACGCAAGTCTCCCAGAAATTGGGAAGGCCTTCCGCACTTCCATGAGCAAAAAAGATTTTCCTGCAAAAATCTCCCAGGAATTCATGAAACAGTATTTGCATGTTTTTTTTTTACAAATTTTTAGTTTACTACTCTATTATCAATTGTCTCCCGGAAATCAGTGGCAATGGGCTGCACCATCCACAGCAAAATATACTTTAATTAGATTTGTTAAAAAAGCCCACTTAAACAGATCTCCTCTGGATGTGGATTCTTCCAACTAGGGACACCTGACTATACACCTGTATCTCTAAAGCTTGAAATGGCAAAGATTGTACTGTAGATTTATAGCTACCACTAAAGCTTGAATATCAACAAAGTTTGCAGACAGCAGAAAGCCAACAATGTTTTTATGTTACTAAGTGTAAAGAAAAATAGATACAGAATCACTAAAGCTTAGATATCAGTTTGACAGCAGAAAGCCAACAATGCTACTATGTGTAAAGATATAATAAATGTTTAAATTCATATTCATGCACAAAACAGAGTATTTTTCAACGATACATACCAAATTTAATAGTCTGCTTGTGCTTGTTTAGCTAACTTTATTTTTTTTTATGATAGTTTATGTTTTTAAAAGTAAGATTTTCAATTTTTAACATTATTGTTTAAAATATATCACTACGTTTAGATGCAACCTGTTTGTGGTGGTTTTAATCGCTGTTGGTTTCGAACTGAATAAAATAAAATAGATCATACAGTATCACTAAAACCTGCATAGCAGTAAATTTTGTAGACAGCAGAAAGCCAACGATATGGCCATAAATCAGTTTCCTGCAATCCTATGAAAGCCACATTGACAAATGACATTAATAATAATAATGGGAAAAAAACACATTTACATGTCTATTCAATTTTGAGGAAAAAAATGTTGTGATGCAAACAATATGTCCTTATAAATTATTTCTTTTCTTGATGTTCTAATAAATAATACAGTTTTTATAAGCTGCAAGAATTGTAAATATTGTATTGTAACACTATAATGTTCTGCATGATTTGTGATACATGGTGCAAGCTTAGCATCTTGCTTTATTATAATTAACTTGTTACGTCCAATAGACTATGTTCACAGTCATGGCTCTGCTTCTACTAAAAATAGCAAAATGTCAAATTATCTGAATGGCAAAACCAAGAATGTTCATAGAGCACTTACAATGCAGTCAACAACTATTGGCTCTAATAATTATTAGTGTTTTCAGGATAAATATTAATTTAAATTATTATTTCTTTGAAAACTAAGCAATAGTACAAACTTTTGTGATAATTCATAAATGATTTCAATATTATACAGCATGATAATTAATAGTAAAAATGAGTGTTATTATTGATATTTGATGCTTTAAAGGAAGTTGTGTCGAATTATTGGTGTAAATGGTTTCTTTCTTGGTTGATATAAATAACATCTTAAATGCAATTTTAATTGTTTTTTTATAGTACGAAAAGAAAAGATTGTAATGTCAACGTTGCCACAAATTCCATTCATAAAAAAAAGAATTCATGATTTGGAGATTTATACTGGGTTTGTTTGCTGGATATAAAACAGTGTTATCAAATCAGACCTATTTATCTTAATTTTTATTTACAATTTATTGAAAATATTAAGCTAACTGTAGCAGGCATGCTGAAAAACTAAATTTACAATTAGCTGATCTTGTGATAGGATAACAAAAATGGTAAAATTATGATTTATTGCAAATACAGGTGTCCCTCTAATTAAAGACCACTTTTCTGCAGTCATAATTAACAAATGTTTTTTATAACATTATTCTAATTAGAAACCAAAGCTACTGAAGACCATAGAAACACCGGTCCCAAAAGTGGTCTTTAATTGGAGGGAGACCTGTATTATTAGCCTTTATGTTATTATCACACTATCCATAATAAGTAGGCTTATATAGTATTTACACAGTACTGTAATTTTATTGGGATGATTCACATTGACCACAAAGCACCCACATGCAACAACTGCAAAAACAAATTGTTAAAAGCAGTCAATCAGCATGTTCATTAAGTGATTTCATAGGAATTCATTTTTGTATAATTTCCATTAAGGCAACTTCTTTGGTTGCAACACATCAATCAGAAATACTGTAGTTTCTTCAGTATAAAAGCGCACCCCCTTGAACACAAAATTAGGAGGATTATTTGGGGGGGGGGGGTTGGTCTTACAGCTAAGGAATCGGTACAATTAGTATTATTAGGCCGCTGGAAATACATTACATGGTTCTCGTCCGCCGCCAACATGCGATTTTACGCCCTGCATCGAAAAAAAAAATTATCGTTCATTGTGGCTTTTTTAAAAAAGAAAACACTGCACTAAGGTAAATAGTCAAAAGTTCCATTTTTGTTACATATTTTCATGAAAATCCGACTCTCCTCACTGAAATGTACTCAAAGAAAGACCTGCGCGGGAAATATATCCTCCGAGCAAAATTATGGCCTAGAAATTCCGCGCATTTCGGAAAATATGGGCCAATTTTTTAGGCAGATTTTGCCGAAAATTAGGCTTTGACCTAATCTTAATTATTATTATTATGCAGTAATTACAACCTATTTTCCTAGCGATTTTCCACACAAATTTGAACTAGTTTTTGAGGTATCATCCGCACAATAAAAAAACTTTACAGTATAGTATGTTGCAACATGTTTAATCTATCACAGAGTGTGTGTAATTGTTGCGGACCGCCATGAATTATGATTCAGTATATTAAATACTATAGACATACGATATTTGAACCATACTGTCATTAAAGATGAAAGATGACAAAAATGCCTGGCCAAATTTTCGAGCTGATGAGGACCATGTAAGGTATTTCTAGCGGCCTTGGCAAAACATACTCTTAGGCCTAGCCTAGCTGGCCATACCAAAAACTCTACCACCACTGCACTGAACCAAAAGAAATGCCCAACTGAATAATTTTTCCATGGCTAGGCTAGGGAGGCCTAGATATGGAACTACACCTCATGTTTTGCTGACTGAAGATATGGACTAGCCACTTTAAACAACTTACGGTACGCCGAAACCGTAACCGATGCTAAGGGCTAGGCTAGCCTATTTTGAACACCCAACAAAAGCCGACGTCACAACCAAACAAGAAGCCATCATCAATCAAAACAAAGTAGCCTAGCACATAGGAGGAGGCCTAGCCTAGCCTAGGCTTATTCCGCCTAGCAATGTTAAATTTACCTCAATTGATGAAAAACATTAGCAGTTTAAAGGCATTAATTAATGTTTATCTATCTGTTCTAGACTTAGTAACAAAGTAAATATGACGAATAATTAATCACAAAGAATTATTTTGTATCTAAAAAGGAATTGCCTTACCTCACGGTTATTTGCTGCAGCAGCAGCCATAGCGTTTGGTGACATACATCCGGGCTCTTCATAAATATGGAACGCCCACATTGACCTGTCAATAATTTGCGTGAATCAGATACGGATCATCAGCAGGTCTAGTATTCAATGCTGGGCTATTGGAACAGTCCTACACAATCTATTGGGTCCACAAAGAATGGATCAACATTTTAAAAATGGGTCCAGATTTCTTATATTTTGCGTAAAATGGGTCAATTGTTAAGGAAATGGGTCCAGATTATTCATATTTTAGCATAAAATGGGACAACTTTTAAGAAAATGGGTCCATAATTTGAATTTAAGCGTGTTGGTCCACCTTGATATTGTCCCACACAGTTTGAAAATCCTGGCAACGGCATTGATCGTACTTGTATTTTATTGTAATACTGTACCGTAAAACCTCGAATAGAAACCCAATCAATGGGCCTAATCTCAAGAAAAAGCCCATCTCGAATTGAAGCGCCCTCTTTAATTTGCAAATGCCACGAAAGCCCAATGGCTTCTTTCAAGATAGCATGGGCTTTTTTCCGAGATATTAGGCCTACAGTGCATAGGACCTACTCTGTACACTATACAATAAATTAAAAACGCGCTTGTTTATATACACAGAAACTAGGTGATTTAATGCCGGTTAATGCACTCCATGATACAGATTGATGTTACAGTGGCCCTATTTATTGTTTTCTGGAAGTAATTCCCAAAATTCACTGCATTCATTTTGAAAAGAAGCCCACCCCACCTCAATCATTTGCAAAAGTAGTCTAAAAGAAGCCCATTCAAAGTTCGCAAAGAAAAGAAGCCCATAGCTTTAATTTGAGGTTTTATGGTAGGCTAAAAAAGCATAATGGTAGGTTTTTGAATCATGTTTAAAATTACTGGAAATTTTAAAATTGGGAAAATAAAAGGTCACGAAATATTAAAAATTGTAAAAAAAAAAAAAAAAGGGGGGCTCTAGAGTAATAGGCAATGATGGGAATATTCTTGCAGTACTGTGTTTCCATCAGAGGTTAGGAGGTAGTGATCCAATTTTTGGGAAGTAAGTGGGTGGTTAATGCCATGGGAAAATAAAAATTATTGCCAAGTTGTGTTTTTACTATTCAACACAGAAATCTTATAACTTTTGATAGGCCTATTGTTAGGAAAAAAGTGAGACTGAATTATTGTTCTTGCTATTCTCTGCTGTTTACACAGTATCCTTGGAAAGCTTCCATCCATTTACATTTTTAGCAGCCATAGTTCATGTAGTAAGGTTAGAATAAGTTGTTGAATGACAAAATGTAAATGTACCATTTCAGCTGGATCTCCCAACTCCACAAAAGACTACTATTGCAAAAGAAGTAAGTTAAATATCATTATAAATACAATTTATATATTTTTATAGCCACTGTCAATGAAATGACGATAATGATATCAATGACATTGTGTTATAGTAAAATAAATGTATTAGGTATAACCTCTGTCTCTTATACACATCTAGATGTGTATAAGAGACAGGTCCTACACAATCTATTGGGTCCACAAAGAATGGATCAACATTTTAAAAATGGGTCCAGATTTCTTATATTTTGCGTAAAATGGGTCAACTGTTAAGGAAATGGGTCCAGATTATTCATATTTTAGCATAAAATGGGACAACTTTTAAGAAAATGGGTCCATAATTTGAATTTAAGCGTGTTGGTCCACCTTGATATTGTCCCACACAGTTTGAAAATTCTGGCAACGGCATTGATCGTACTTGTATTTTATTGTAATACTGTACCGTAAAACCTCGAATAGAAACCCAATCAATGGGCCTAATCTCAAGAAAAAGCCCATCTCGAATTGAAGCGCCCTCTTTAATTTGCAAATGCCACGAAAGCCCAATGGCTTCTTTCAAGATAGCATGGGCTTTTTCCGGAGATATTAGGCCTACAGTGCATAGGGCCTACTCTGTACACTATACAATAAATTAAAAACGCGCTTGTTTATATACACAGAAACTAGGTGATTTAATGCCGGTTAATGCACTCCATGATACAGATTGATGTTACAGTGGTCCTATTTATTGTTTTCTGGAAGTAATTCCCAAAATTCACTGCATTCATTTTGAAAAGAAGCCCACCCCACCTCAATCATTTGCAAAAGTAGTCTAAAAGAAGCCCATTCAAAGTTCGCAAAGAAAAGAAGCCCAGGGCTTCAATTCGAGGTTTTACGGTATATCCTGGTTAAAATGCGAAAATGGCGTGTTAACTGAAAAAATGCAGAATGTAAAATTTGGAACTCCAAAAGTGTAGTAGGAGTATAACAGGAGGGGTAGAAATAGGGTCGAATGATGAAAGGCCCACCAACGCAGGTTAAGACGTGCAGCGTCAGTCATATGCAGGCTTGCCGTACCGCCTCAGCAAGTAGCATTGGACTTGGAGAAAATGTTAAGAATTGGGGACTTTCAGATGCCGAGAATAATACTTTATTACTTAAAATTTACGTCCGATATTTTTTAACATTTTAAAAGGGGCCGGCACTATATATTTTTTTAACCTCTGAAGCGGGGGTTGGGGGGGTCCTCAGGCACCCTGATCACCCCACCCCGGGTACACTAGCAGCAATTCTACCTTGTCTCTCTCCTTTATCGGGCACACCCGGTTAATGATGAGCAAAGTTATAACGTTTTATGACGTTCTCCACAAATCTGTTTTCAGTAAGTTGTGGAATGTACTGCCACTGTATGAAGTACCGGTACCGTATGTTAGATCCTTTTCTAAATTGCCCAATTTATGTAGTCGGGGCCGTCCTTGCTTCCTTTTCCCATGGGTTCGTTCCCAAAAGAGTGACCCTTAAAATAACTTGTAATCTGTATCTCCATACAGGTTTTATTGTAATATGTTGATTTTAGTTGATATTTAAGGAGTGTCTGAGTAATCTTGTATAACAACCATCAAGCCCTCTCTCTTAAGATTCTGTTCGTTTATCTTTTTTTAGAAATGCCGTAATAAAGAATATTTGTTTTAAACCATCAACCATCGCCTTTACCTGAGCATTAGAGATCCCCCCATGCAGTGGCGGATTCAAGGGGAACCCAGTCGGCCAGGGCCCCCGTAAATATTTCAAATTTCTTTCAAAGAATGGAGAAAATACTGAAAATTATATTCAAATCATGAGAGTGCCATTTCCGGCCATCTAGAGGCAACGTAATTTTAATTTTTCAAACATCTTTCGTTAAAACCTGGGTCATTTATGCAGTTCATTTCAACAATTTTCAGGCATCTTTTTGACTTATGAAATCACATTGCCGCCGAAAAATGAGGGGTGGGAACCAACCCCACCCCCTGAAAATATGTAGAGGGGGCGTATCCCCAGTTCCCCATGATCTGCGCCCATGCCAATGGGAGACCCGCATGTCAGTGGGGAATAAATGATGCCTGCTAGTGGGGAAAAAAACTGATGGAAAAAAGTTGGATAAGCTTAGGTTAGTGGACGTTAGTTAATTCCTTTTAAAAATGAAATATTATACATTTTTGTTCAAATATGGTAGCATTATGTCAGGTAACTCCCACAAATATCCAAACAGCCAGAGCCAGTTGGTACTTCGAAAAACTGGTCTGAAATTTAAGAGGTCTCGGAATTAGAGGGTCTCGAATTGGAGGATAACCATTACACAAATTTCCTACCTAATATCCATTTTTGACCCTGTTACCAAGGGCGGATCCAGAGATGTCCGAAAGGGGTGTCGAAAGTGGGGCGATCGAGACAACACTACCTTAGGGGGTCCGGGGCATGCCCTCGCGAATTCTTTGTTTTCTAGGCGCCCGAAAATAACCTCTGAGGTTTTTTGGGCGATCAATTATTTTATTTCTTTTACTTTCTTTCTTTCTTTATTCTTTTTTTCCCTAATATTTTTTAAAAAGGGCGTTTGTTTTGTAGACCTGAGATTGTATACTTATTGCGTAGGCTTCCCGTTAGAGACTTCCTCCACCCTTTTCTACTTTGCATTTTTTTGTTTTATTTTATTTTTGTCATCCCTTCTATGTTACAAATCATTTTTTGGTATGCCAGCTACAGAGCCCTTATTTCTTCGTTCTTGATTAAAGATGTATTGTCCCATAAAAAATTCCAAAAATATAATAAAAATCATTTTTGTGTCCGCCAAGACGGACCCAGAACCTCACTGTGGTGTTGTCATTGTTATGTTGTTGTTGTTATTGTTACCAGAACTTTAAAAGCGCCAGTTCTGAACGGACGTGCAGGAAATTTTGTAGGCCTACACATAAATTAGAAGTGGTTTCCAACAAACTCCCATGGCCCTTTTTTAAATTGGACCCAGGGTGCACCCCTACACCTACAAAACAGAACAGGGGTTTCAGCAAGGACTCCTTACTGCCATTACCACTAATAGGGCGCGGTCGGTTAAGATGTGTTTTAAAGAACTGAAAGTCGTGAGTTCGCATGACGTCTTAGTATTAATGTTTTTTCAATTTTAATACACTTTGATTTTGTACAAATGAACATTCTAATTACAGTATACCGAGGCATGATTTGAACTCACGCCGTTCGGCTCCTCAAAACACGTGCATGTTAGTGGTAATTAATGGCAATTATGAACCCTTGCCGAAAACCCAATATAATAACGTACGCCACTGTGTACTCTATTTAAGCATGATGGATATTTCCTGCATGATTTAAGCATGTTTTAATAGTGTCAACAAAATGACTCGTCTGAAAGGTGCATACCCACAGCGTTAAACCAGGATTTTTTCAACTGGCGGCGCGCAGGCCATCTCCGGCCCGCGAGTGCGTGTTATGCGGCCCGCGAGAACAAGCCGAAAATAATATTTTCCGTTAAGCTTGGGCCTAGATTTTTAACCTTAATAATTTTGCATTCTGTTGCTGACTAGGCCTATATGTTGTCCTACAAATTGCAGCGATATAATCAATCAAATCGGAAGAACTATCGCAGCAAACAGCAAAGAAAAGAAATCATAACACGCCAACTTGTATGAGTGTCTAAGCGGCTTATTATTTAAAAAAAATAATTTAAAATTAATTTGGGAAGAGGACACCCCATCCTAAACACTTGCACTTCTCATCCCCCTCGCTCGCTACGCGCCAAAGAACACCTCTAGCTCTGGCTCTTCAAATTTATTCAATGAACAGTATTGGCTTGCCCCTATTGCGATATAGTTGAAAACCATTGCGTTAGACGCTTAAATAGAGGTACGCGTGGACCGGTGAGCGGTTGCTATTGCTTAAATTATGACTTGCCCATTTTGAAGGAACATAAAACTTGAAGATTTATGTACTTAAAAACTGTTACCCATAATTTTACAGCGAAAAAAAAATATGATAGAAACATTATATTTTATTATTATCCGGTATAAAAATCAGGGTACACATTTTTTAAATTTAATAATGCTCAAGTTGATAATTTGTATATGTTACTGCAAAATGAGCAAGTTAATTTCATGTTATTTTTTTTCGAGTTATTGTCACTTTCAGGTTAGATTACATACTGTATGTGGTTTGCATATTACGACAAACAGGAATTACCAAGTGGCTTTATGCTCACAGGAAGGGAACAGCATTATTACCGATTATACAGTCCTTGTGATGCAGATAAAAGGGCTTACAATACAATCAGCTGGGATCAGCATGTTCCTGTTTTAACCATCCCTTTTCCTGATACTTACCCCTAAAGGTTAGAGGTTATAATATTAACAAAATGGGTTCATGTTGAGGGTGGGCACGTCCGACCTAATTAAGGGCTCAAAACTATAGTGACATGAGTAGGCTTGTCGAACCTCGATGATGCGTTTTAAGTAAGGCAAATAGGCCTGTGCTTATAAAGGATGTCTGATTTACATTTTGTTTAAATCTTGTGTGCACACAGCCCTGGATCTTTCCATGAAGCTATCTATGTTGTATCACGAGTGGACTTAAGGCTTTGGTAGGCCTATATGTTGTATAGGTAAACATCGTCAGCGTTATTATGTAATAACAAGCATTTCTTCAAAAGGACAGCAAATTTTTTGAATGTATGAAATTAAACCAAAAAATATATACTGTAGAAAGACACACACAAACTGGTAATGGTCCTTGGCAGCAGTACAGCTGATCTAGTAACCCTTCACCCATCCTTGTTTTACCATTGAATATGAATGAGGTACAGTAATTGAATTTATCAAATTATAGGGCCACTAAATGTTTCCTCCGAAATAATCTTTCTTCCCATGGATCCAGTCCTTATAAATTAAGCATTGGCGGGTTGTGATAATTACTATGATGCCGCATAATATTTAATAATAATAATAATAATAATAATAATAATAATAATAATAATAATAATAATATTATTATTAGACTATTACAGGTCTCCCTCCAGTTGAAGACCACTTTTGGAAACTAGGTTTTAGAGGTCTATAGCAAGTCTAATTTGAATCCCTTTCATTAAAGACCGACAATATAAGTGGTCTTCATATATCTCGATTTAGAGGGAAATTGATAAATAAATTAGTAAATGTAAGATTGTTTTGTTCCAAGTGTTTTATTATAAGAATGGATACCGTATACAGTTTCTATATACTGTTATTAAAAAAAAAAAACCATAGTCACACATCAAGTCCTGTGCTCACTCTACCTAAATCTCCATTACAATTTACTAATACCGTCTCTACTAAAACTATTCCTATTCAATAAACATCACCTTGTGTGTATTCTAATAACTTCCTCTCGATTCAGGTTTCTTGCTGCTAACGAGAAATTGTATGTACATACAATTTTTGATGGATCAGTCGCAATTTAAGAACAGTGCCGGCCTGCCGGCGATGCAGACATTTGCAAAGGCGGTAAAGTCACAGTGTAGAATGAAAAATGACATTTATTAATGACGAGGTAAAATATAAAAAAAATATGCATTGTGAAATTATACATGCTAATAATGCGAAGGTAATCAGCTATAAGTACATAGCTTTTAAACTCTAGGTTATAATCAGGGTGCCCAACCCCCTCCCCTTTTATTACATAAGCGTTTTTAATACGGCGGAAGGAATGGGGATGGAGGTGGGAAAATAATAAATTTTGTCACAATGTAAAACAAGCCTTTTTTTCGGTCAGTGAAAGGGGCGCCTGTGCTGCCGAAGATGATGTTGCACATGCGCACGCCCGGTAGACTGTCCTGGGTAAAATCAAACGAACCGTCTGGGAATATAATGGGATTTTCCAGCACAAGCGCTGAAAATGGTTTGTTTTATATCCACACCGCGACATTAGGTGGAACGGTCTAATAACGGAACATTTATATATTTTTGGTTTAATGTGGTTCACATTGCCAGAACAGTTAATATTAACGGTGAAGCGTGTGGAAGTTCTCACAACAGAAATACATTACAGGCAGTATCAATAGGTAGCGATCTCATCATGTTTGTTTGGTATTATACTGTTGGCTTCTTATTGGCAATTGACGTTGTTTCATCTCAAAGTGAGTTTTAAAAAAATAATTGATTCAATATAAGCCAAAACATGATACCATACACTGTAATAATGAAAGCAAATCTAATGATTATCTAATAATACAATGTGATTGTAAGGAGGCGTTTGGTATATAGAATTGCAATGAATGTTTGTCTGCATAACCTAAAATGTTACTTGGATTATTTTTGTTTAAACAAGTATATGACTAGTGACTGAAAAGATTATAACAAAAACTCATAAATAGATCTAATGTTAAGTTTATTTTATTTTATTACAAACAAAGAAACATAGGAAGACAAAACGAAAGCTCTATCTGCACATTAACAGTACCATGGGGACAGCCAAAAGTGTAGCACACTATCAGAATGGCTCTCCACATAATTAAACTAGCACAAATACAATGAAAAATATTTATTCAAAGTTAAAATAAATGGTTTAGTTTTTGATTAGATGATTTGGTTTTTGTATGAATGGTTTGCTTAACTTACGTTCGACTTTATATTAAATGGTTTGGGTTTAACTTGTATTGGTTGGATAACGTTTTTTTGGCGTATTTGGCTTTCCATAGATATTACCAACGATAAAAGGACTAATTACAAGATTTAAAAACAAAATTAGAAAAAACGTTAAAAGCTAACAATTAAACATTTCAAATTGCACGAATAGAAGAACGAAGTGCAGCACCAAAGTTTCTTCGATTAGTAAAAAATTAGATCTTTAACCTCAGTTAGAATTCGTTCACATAAACGAGGAATATTAACAAAAGAGAAATACTTTAATGAATTTGTTTAAGCAAATTATGTTTTGTTCTTGTTGCATACCATTTTTGTTTATTTGTAAATGTTTTTTGTTTTAGATTTTATATGTTGCTCCACCTATCATTCACGTCTGTGCACCTAGGAGCTTGTGTTTAAAATACATCTAAATTTGTTACATTTGTTTAAATTACCGATAATAATTATCATATAAAAGTGTTTCTATCATTTTTCGCTGTAAATTTATGGGTAAATTGTTATTTCATTTATATGGCATAAAATACTCAAAATGCAACAAAGGTTGAAATACTTTTGAGTTTAAAATATGAACAAATAACTTGGCCTATAAAAACATTTTAAATACACAAATTTCTATGTTCAAGATGATAATTTTTATATTATTTCAAATGAGCAAGTAAATTTCGAAAATAATTTTTATGATTTTTTTTGTACTTTGCATGGGACAATAGTGTACATTTTCACAAAACTTGAAATTCAATGGACCTTTCCAGAGTGTAAATTAAACTGAACGACTAATCAGGCACCTTTCCGCTAAGCCCCGCCCCTTGGATATTGTTGCTAAGGTCCCACAAGGCGACAGTGTTAAAACATAGCAAACACGTGCGTTTGTGGGACAACACGTGTGTTTGTGAGACGCACGTGTATTCCTAGCGCTGTTCTGATTAGTCAGTTGTTAAGTTTGATTGACACTCCGGAAAGGTCTATCAGAACAGGGCCAGGAATTGCCCATCACATGCCATTCAAACACACGTATTTGCTTATCTTTTAACACTGTGGTTTTGTGCGACCATAGCAACACTATCCAAGGGCGGGGTTAAGCGGTACAGAAGCTTTAATACGAGTTTTGTTTTAATGACGTCACTTTGAGATAGTATGGTAGGCCTAGTTGAACCTACATGAGGGTATAAATACTCTATACTACAGGTAATTATTATGTGAGACTTGTCACCGGTACACATGTTGGCCATGGTAAGGTACAGGTGTGGTATAGCAGCCAATGGAATTCGTATTGCAAGAGATGGGGTACCCTGGAAGCTAGAGTTACCTGCAGACAGCTTGGATATCCAGACGTAATATCGTCAACATCAGATGGAAGCAGCACTAGGAGCTCTGGTTATGGTGGTTTAGGTTACAATAGAAGATCTTACTTAGATTGTTCGGGTTCTGAACAAAAGCTTTCGAGTTGTTCATTAGAGTGCTGTGACTATAGTAGGCCTAGCTGTAGTTCTGTTTCTGTCAATTGCACAAGTAAGTATATATTTATATAAATATCATTATTATCATCTATTGCATTATTCTGCTTACTGTTATTTTTAAAATTACTGTCTAAAAGTAATTCATACCATTGCACTGCTCATTACCAACCAGTGAATTTTCAAGGTCATGATAATGTCAGTGCGATTAGTGTTTCGCACTGACAGGAAAAGAGAAAGTGCCTTAAGCCTTCATCTTCTCTGGGCAAATGCGAGTTATCGTAAATTCTCTTATTTATCATTTAATCAATGTTTAAATCGATGTTTTTCGGGCGGCAGCGTTTTAAGAGACTTTACATTGGTAAAACATGTTATTTATGTCAGATTTTCCATTAATATGGTCTAATTGTTAGACATCACCCGATCACGTATTCGACTCGTTGGTGGCAGTTCAGCTAACGAAGGACGCGTAGAGTTATGGACTGGATACACGTGGATGTCTATAGTTAAATCTTACTGGACAAGTTCAGAAGCAAAAGTCGCTTGCAAACAGCTTGGATTTATTGACGGTGCTCTTTCATATGGATCCTCCAGTGGCTACACAAGAACTCGGTACGGTGAATCAAAAAGTTCGACATGCTCTCTTGGTGCAGAATGTTCAGGCTGGGAACCGACGCTTAATGATTGCAAAAATCATATAACTTCGTCTTACTGTCTTCATTCAAATGACGTTAGCGTCCAGTGCCATCCTAATCGACAAACTATTGGTAAGTCGTGTACTACAGTCTTCAAAATATCAGTCTGATTGAAAGCTATTTTATATTATTGGATTAGGATGCAATGATCAATGAAGTAAAACTACGTCTCTATCACATTATAACTTAAATTTGATAAGTTATACAAGTTATTGAAAGTTTTAATTCCTTATATGAACTATCTCATTTGTAGGCCCCCATATTTATGTAAGTTTAACTTAAATAAGAAAAAATTTCCGTCAATTAAGGGACAGTTAGATACATTGTTTTGCATAGACCCTTAAGTTGCCTGGTAATCTATTTAAGGATTTTTGTAGTAGAACATCTGCAAAAACATTTTTTTTTCGATCTGTTTCTGGTCAGAAGATAATAACTTATATGATGCGATTTAAATAATCTATTCAAAGTTTTAATTCAAGTTTTAATAATTTTTCGATTTTTTGTTGGTAGACTCTGTTGGTGAATCTTTATGTAAGTTAATTAGGTAAATTTGAACTGGGCCCTAAGGACGCTCTGAGTATACTTAAATAACATAATAATTTTTAACTCTTTTACATTGGTCTCTTCTCAGAATGTCATTGCCTGACGTCATCAGATTGTGACAGAAGTACTGGAAGCTGTCCCGATGGGCAATGCTCTGTGGGATGGGCAGGAGATTATTGTCAGTTAGGTAAACGCATTGTTTGAACGCTATTCATATGCATGTTTATATTCATGTTCATTATGTTTATATTCATGTCCATTATGTTTAACATGTACAGATAATACTAATGCTGATAATTCTTTATTCGTCATAAGTTAATGAAAATTCCTTTCTTTGGCAAGATGTCATACGGTACATTGTAAAAATGTAGTTTTAAAAGACACAGACAAAGACACTCCATTAATATATTAACTATCATAAAAACTTTAAGACAAAAAAACCCATTGAAATATTTAAAATCCATTAAAAGAGCAGCACTGTGTATAAAACAAAAAGGAAGAATATTGAAAACAGCACCAATCGTAAAATTAAAAAAAAAACTTTCTTGAATTTGGAATAAGTGAATGGCGTTTAGGAAAAATGAATACATATAGGCTATTGTGAATTATTTGATCATGTATGGTGGATGAGAACGAATTTACATGTACACAATCTTTCTTCATTGCTTTAATGTGTGCAAACTGACATGGCGCATTCACGTTCGTTATATTCATGTTAACGTTTAAGTTTATCATGTTAATATTCAGGTTTCCTCCTCACCATCACCACCCCTCCTTCACCCACACGACCATTATTAAATATATTCATAGTATAGGCCTAGTATCTATCTATATTTTCAGAGTTACCGAGGCTGTCAGAACCACCACGCATTAATGGTTCAGTTGTGAGATGGGACGAATGGTCTTTTGAGCATGATATTGGCACTGGACCTGTTATTGGTTATTCTATTTACTACATCGATGCGTCTCAAGTTGAATACGAAGAAGTATTAATTGATGACGTTGAAATTACATCTCATCACCTAAGCAATCTTCCTCCTGGCAGAATTTATTACATCGGTGTATCGTGTTTAATAAAAACAGGATCTGTAACGTCAGTAGGCCCGCTATCGCCAACAGTAAATTTTACGACATCCCCAGGACGTAAGCATTTTTGTGTTTGTGAGATTTTTACAGTAAATCAATTTTTCATCTTT